CAAAAACAATTCGATCATGGATTACAAAAAATTCGATCAAGTATTACAAAAAAATCTATCATGGATTACAAAAAAAATAAAAAAATAAAAAAATAAAAAAAATAAAAATAAAAAAAAATAAAAAAATAAAAAAATTCCGTACGAAATCCCCGATTCACTGTTCGGACTCGCCGATTCCGTACAGTGAATCGGCGATTCACTGTACAGAATCGTCCAGCTCTCTCTAGAACCGGATGATTTCCGATTTTTTGGGCGATCCGGTCCCTTTTCACTATTTTCGAGTCGAACCGGGCGAGTCCGGTTCGACTCGGCGTTTTTTAAAACGCTGGTTTAGACAATTGATAGAGAGAAATGAGGTTCATATGTGGATGGCATTTTCCTCTGGAGTTTCAGGATGGTCACTGGTTGTGCAAATATGGACAGGCTCAATGGTCCGGCTCGTCTCATGATAGTTTCAGATCTCGACCATACCATGGTAAAGTTTCATTGGAATTTACTTTCATTTATTCTTTTTCGATTGATGCGAACTTAAGCTTCATCTGTAAAAATCTACAGTTTCTTTTTTATTTGTCAATGTTTTCCATCAGCTGACAAAAATGATTTATTGCTGGTTATATCAATTCTTGCAGGTGGACCATCATGATCCTGAAAACTTATCAATTCTCCAATTTAATGCCTTATGGGAAGCCAATTTCCGACTTGATTCCTTGTTAGTTTTCTCTACTGGACGATCGCCAACCCTTTACAAACAGTTGAGGAGGGAGAAACCCATGCTGACTCCTGACATAACTATAATGTCGGTGGGGACAGAGATAACATATGGGGAATCAATGGTCCCTGATGATGGTTGGGAAGAGTTTTTGAATCAAAAGTGGGATAGGAACATTGTTATTGAGGAGACTGCTAAGTTTCCCCAACTTCAGTTTCAGGTTTGCTCATTATGTCTAAATTATTGTGATCTGAGAAAGTATACTTCCTAGTATTAACTCTTAGAATTTGCTTACTTTTTTATAGTCTTTGTCATTTGGACTTTAAGGTCTAATTGTTGCTTGAATTGTTGAAAAACTGATTTTATTTGAAGTTAACTAATTGTCGCTTGGATTGTTGAAAAACTGAATGCAGTCAGGAACAGAGCAGCGGCCTCACAAGGTTAGCTTTTATGTAGAGAAGGAACATGTCCAGGAAATCATGAAAAGTCTCTCTGAGCGTCTGGAGAAGCGCGGCGTAAGATTCCATCCTTCAAATTAGAGTCGATTAATGAGTCGTTATTAAAATCAGACTGGACTTGGTGGGTCTAAGTTCTAACTGAGCTGGAACCCCCACATCCTGTTTGATAGTATTGGATTCTTATCTTCACAAGTTCTATAGAATAACTTAACTTCTTCAAGGAATTGTCTTTTCTTGATTCAATCTGAATTAAATTCTCTCTGATGGTTATTTATTCATCATAGATGACATTATTAATGTGAGTCGAACATTTGAACTCCACTCCTTCATTTGGCAGTTGGACATCAAGATAATATACAGTGGTGGGATGGATCTGGATGTATTGCCACAAGAAGCGGGGAAGGGACAGGCTTTGGCATATTTGCTCAAAAAGTTCAAGTCTGAGGCAAGGCCTCCAGTAAATACTCTTGTCTGTGGAGATTCTGGCAACGATGCAGAGCTTTTTAGTGTTCCTGATGTTTATGGTGTAATGGTTAGTATCATAGAGTTCACAAACTTTTTACCATCATCCACTTATCTGTTCTCTCATATTGATGAAAATAAGAAAATAAACTGTGTTTTCTTTTTTCAGAAACAATTTGTTCACTTCTGCTAAGTGAACAGGGCTTTGTATTTTTCTTGGATGGCAGGTCAGCAATGCTCAAGAGGAGCTTTTGCACTGGTATTCACAAAATGCCAAACACAATCCTAAAGTAATTCATGCAACCGAAAAGTGTGCAGCAGGAATAATACAAGCTATAGGTCATTTTGGATTGGGCCCTGGTGCATCTCCCAGGGATGTTACAGACTATTCTCAATCAAAGTCAGGAACCTTGACTCCTGCGCATGAGATAGTGAAGTTCTATACTTTGTATGAGAAATGGCGTCGAGGAGAAGTTGGGAATGCAGAGAGTCATCTCCAGGATTTGAAAAGAACGTGTGTATGTTTTCTAGCTCTCTGCAGGATCCTCTTTGACATATAACAATTTCCTGAAACAGGGACTTTTTTTAATATTTTCTGTTGTTTCTAAAGCATAAATTAGAATGCAGGCATTTGGTAACTCATTTAGCTGTTTTCATTGTCTATGCTTTGTTAAATTACTGTATAAATCATAATGTAGGCCTCTAACTACTTCTGAAGATATGTGTGACAGCAACCAAATGGAGTAGCGGTCCACCCATGGGGATTTGAGCAACCACTTCATGAATGCATAAATGCATTGGGTTCATGTTATGGGGATAAACAAGGGAAGAAATTCTGTGTATGGGTTGACAAAGTGTCGTCTTCCCAAATTGGCTCAGATATATGGCTCGTGAAGTTTGATAAATGGGAAATGGTTGGTGAGTGCTTCTTGTTCTGTTATTTCTTTTATCAAAATCGTGTTGGTGCTCATAAATAATTGAATGCATTGCTTAAAGATGTCAATTATTATTTCTCTCTCCAATTGTAATCATGACAATGAGAACTCCCATATACTATTGTGCTTTCATGCGCATGCTGCTATAAATGTTTCTTGTATCTATTTCCACCCATGTGATTCTAAAATTTTTCCAACATTGTGATGCATGAATCTCAAACATGTGGATAGTCCTGGGAAAAACATCTGCGAATTATTAAAAGAGCATTGGTATTGAGTTTTCTATCATGAAAAAAGAGCATTTGTGTTGACAGCAGGAACGCTATCTGGGTACAAGCTTCATGCAACTCGATTTCAGTGATTCTTTTAATAATGTGTCGTCTGCTACATGGATTTTTGGAGATGCACTAGCTGAAGTAGTGAAGTGTTTGGGCTTAGCTGAAATTGTGGAGCTTATCCAATGAATTTTTTGTCTTCTTCGCTTGAGAACTTGTTATGCAATTTTAGCGTACAAAGACCAAGTTTCAACCTTCTTGTTGGGTGTTGACCTTGTGTTTGAATTAGTGTTAGGTACAGTGTTCACGAACCTAAAGAGCAGTGGTTCCTAATTCGATCTATTTGGCTGGTTGAGAAATAGTTCAAAAACTTTGTTCAGGAGCCATGACCTTTTCATCTTGATCCCTGCCTTAACACTTGGGTGTGGATTTCAACCCCTGGCCTACACATTGACATATAAAAACACACATGGAAAGAAAAAGGAAAATGAAATGCAGAAGAGACACAGTACTTACTGGTTGTTATTACTTATTAGGATTACTATACGCTGTCGCTACTACTATTATTATTTTATGATAATAATAACCAATAATGTCATTTGTTGTTATCAAAGAGTATTTCTACTATCCCTAACAAACTTTTTTTGTCAAGTTGTTGTTGTTGCTGGTCGTAAGCTTTTTACTTCTAATATAATTATTATAGTGGAAATGATAGCGTGTTCCACCTAGGGCACCAAACTTGGTGCTCTGTCCATCTCAAAAACCACTTTTGAGGTGTGGGGCAGCCAAAAGATTTTCAGACTTTCTCAAATTCAGTCTCTCTGAAGTTTGATACCTATAAAAGACCTTTAGATATCCTCAATCAATTGCCTTGCCCACTGAAATGGACAGTTCTGATCGGATTCTAGAGTTGCAATGTATTTTGGTAATTTTTGGAGCTCCAAATCCAATTTTTCTTTGAACCATTTTTGGGGTGTCAAAATAGTCTGGGAAATTTTTAAATCCCTCCTACACCTCATAAGTGATTTTTGAGGTGGGCAGAGCACCAAGCTTAGTGCCCTAGTGAAACATGCTGTCATTATTACAGTTATTATTTGCAACTTTGATCACTATCATTAGAATTTTTATAAGTACTATTGTTTGCATCCATTGCTCCTCCCACCACCACACTAAGACCCACGTGACCTCAGATGCATGTCCGAGGCGTCTGTTCTGTTATAACTTGTTGGATTATAGTTTTGATTCATTTGATATATATGCTTAAGAGGCATTTTGCTTAGGACGAATCTAGATCATCCATTAAGTCAATATTTGAGCTTTTTTCTTTTCTTTTCTGTTTTTCTAAAATTGACTACTATCAGAAGAAATCAGCACCGTCCTTTAGGGCATAATTGAGTGGTATGACCCAGAATTCTTAATCTAGCAACAAATTTGTAGTTATGAAGTCCCTACAACAAGCAGTACTTAGTGCTCATCATTTTGTTTGATGGGCAATTTTGTCAAGCTTATCCAAATTCAAGTTCATTGCAATCATTTTCTGTTGTATTGTTATGATTGCTATATTTACTCATCCTACTACTATTGTCATTCTTGGTTTTTTTGGTGATGCTAACTTCTGAATTGACTTCTATTGGTTGAATTAAAATGCGAATTAACTTCCCTTGATGTTGTTGCAGATGAAGAGCGCCGTTGCTGTCTTACTACGGTGTTACTCCAGTTACAGGTAAGCATGTTGGAATCATCACCAGTTCTAGTCTATATCATATTCTAACTAGTAATATACAATTTTTAAGGATTTGGTCATGGGCTTCTAGCATAGAGGTGCTGATGGCTCCGATGTCCCATGTTCGAATTCTGCCACTGACCTACCCCCCTCCCTCCCACCCCCCCAAAAATAGCAGTAGATAATAACGCAACCCTGCACTCGGCTCGTTTTTTGGGATTCTTTTAATGAAATGTTTAGTTTTTTAAGTTCTCTAAATGGGTTGATTTCGTAGTAGAGCAAGGGATGCTTCTACCTAATCTGGACTCAATTAAGTCATATACTCATTTCTACTACAGCATACTAAACTCGTCCCTCCTTTAGTGAATTGATTGGTTCACTGAAACTACCCATGTTATAAAATCAAGTCAACTGATTTAAAGGGCAATTTGTTTGGTGAGAGATGGTAGCCTGTTGTTCTGGCAAGATGTTAGAGGGTAGATGATGCTGTGTGTTGAGTGAATTCATTTTTCCCTTTTTAACCCAATTCAACCTTATTTTTGCAAGGGAATTCAACATTTAATTTGACATTTTAACTTATTTTTGTTTGCCCTTGGATTTGTGCCAAGGGGGGTGTCTACAATTTTTTAATGACGTTTTAACCATGATTTGGCAGCCGGAGAGTTTTGATGGATTCATATGGGTACATTTGCATCAGACATGGTTAGATGGATTCAGAAATGGACAACATACGGGATGGTTTTTCTGAGTACGGAAGGATTTGACAACCAATTTTTCCCCTTGGTTAAAGAAATAATTCTTGTTATGTTCCCAGGTATAATAATCTGGGAGTATCTTCACTCCTTTTCGCCTTTTCTTATCATATACTATGCCATTTTGCTAATTTTATGCTTAATTAAAGCCACCTATGTATTTGTCTCGAGGGACTCTTTTCTTTTTAAATTTTGAAGGTGTTTAATTATTGAAAAAAGTTTATATAATGTTGACACTTAGAAATTGTAGAATTAAGGTGCACATCAAATATCCATCAGAAAAGGTTATTTTAATGCTGGAAAACCATCTAATTGATCATCACGACATCAAGATGTATGGATATGGAAACCGTCTATTTTCAAGATTTTCATGGGTTTACAAATCTTCTTGATTTAAACCATTTTTATAGTTCCAAATTTTATAATTAGAGACAAAATAGATTATCGAGCTATCCTAAAAATCTCGATAGGAAAATTGCATCTTATGATAAAGTTTGGAATTGTGCTTTAATTGTTTAAAGGGAAAATGTATAATGAGATCATTTATCTTTGGTACAAGGTAGTTGCAATTAATCTTGACCATTAGATGTGAAATTAGATGGTTGCATTTATTCTATTGACTAAGCTCAAACTTCAATAATTAGATGGTTGCATTTATAATGAATATTTATTAAATGTACTCAATATTTTTTACAATAATTACTTTTGTTTTGTAGTACAATTTTTTTTGAACATCATCATTAGGAGGGGTATGATAGATATTTCTATAAAAATTCAGTGGCATTTAATGCTCTACGGGGCTGATGTCACGCTTCATATGGATGATGTTATTTTCCACTGTAATTAATAAAATGTTTTTTTGTCTATCATGAATTTCTATTTTACCTTGGAATAATTACTTAAAATACACTTAGATAAAATGTTAGTACATTATAGGGTAAGAATATTAAATATCTAAAAATGTTGAACACGCAAATACTCAACTGAATGAGTTCCCTAACGTAACCCTTTAAAATACGGTAACTCTGTACTACAAGACCATACCAAGGGTTATCACAATCTCTCCTAATTGTTCATGCAGTTAAAGAGTGTTTCCTTTCTTTACCCAAAGTTTGGAAGAATATTTTTTGAACTTGTGGGTAGCTAAATGTACGCCCTTTCTTGCAAAGTTCGAAAAGCTTTTATCCCATTACCATTAGCAAACCAATTTCACATCACATGTGACAACCAGGGGTTATCTCACCGTCTCATGCAGGTTACTTTACCCTCCTTGGACTAAGGGGAACATTCTTATAACATTCAACGTTCAAAAAAAAGAAAAAGGAAACATGCTTATGCACTTCCTCATTTTTACTCCCTTGTACTGTTAATGATTCCCCTTCTTTAAGTCTTATACAGATCATTTTACCCTTCTTGGACTTGGGGAAACATTCAAAAAATAGAAGAAAAGGGAAACATGCTTATGCACTCTCTCATTTTTACTCCCTTTTAATGTTAATGATTTTCCTTCTTTATGGATGAAGTTTCTATACAGCCTAGGGTTTATGAAAACAAAATAAAGCCTTGCTTCAAAAACAAAATAAGGCCGTACTTCAAATCTTTATGCATAAAGCACTTTTTGGATAAAGCACTTTGGGTCGGAAATTTTTAGAATGGCTCTAAAATCAATTTCCATCATCAAGAATAAAATTTGAACCTTCTATAGGATTAGCACTTATTTTTAAGGGGAAATGAAATGGTGTAGATTTGTTGCAATATGCATTATTTTTATAACTTGTTTTTTTTTTTAACCATGGTGTTCAAGCTGAGATGGTCAATTTAAATATTTTTCACTTTGAATTGCAGTTTTTAACGAGTTAAGAGGTGTGGCTTTACTTATTTTGATAGGGCTGCAGCCCTGTCAAATCATTTTCCTTCATTTATGTCACGATGCATGACCTCTTTGTGCACTTTTTTGTTTTCTTTGTCATCATTTCGATGGCTAGAGCACAACATTATATCCTTTGTAATTTATGTAGAGAACGTTCGAGGAGGCGAAAAACAAGCAAATCTTACAGGCAAAACAAATACAGTTACAAATGCAAATGAGGGCCACTCAAAAGTCGCAATGAGAAAAGACCAAAATAGCCCTCAAAGGCTGGTCCCACATTCTAGCCCTAGGTCATCTGAGATATACAAGAGACAAAAGACCAAAACGATCCTAAAAGGTCGATCCCATCCCCACCGTCCAGATCTGATTCTCTGTTCATCACATCCTTTGAGTAGCTTGGCTGACATATCTGTCAAGAAAAGACCATAAAAGTCCTGAAAGTGCCTTGCACATTACACCATAAGTCCGCTCAAGGGCTCCTTTCTGTCATTTTATCGCTGTTTCTAAGCAGCCTCTCCACATTTTTGCGGCAACCCAAATCCGATTAGAGGATCCCCAAAAAAAACCACTCTACATTTTTGCAGCAACCCAAATCCCATCGTAAAAAGAAACCTTGAACCCAAATAAAAAAAAAAACGCCTGCCTAGTAGCGGGAAATATTGATAAAAGAAGAGGAAAATTTATTGTTTTCTTGGCTTGAGCTCACCATCTATACCATAAAGAAGAAAGCAAGTCTCTCAAAGACTGAAAGAAGCTGGTTTACTTGCATGGATGGGATTACTGGAAACCCTAAAGAGAGAGAACCCTAATCAACTCTTGGGTTGCCATTATTTTTATTGCAAGCCACCATGAAGCTTCACTTTTGTCATTGGAGAAGTAGAAAGCAGAGGTTTGAAAAGCCCTAGCCCACCTATGCTCCGATGCAAAATTGAACCCCATAATTATGTGTGTTGAGAAAATACCGGTGGATGGTAGGTGTGAATTAGATTGTGGAGAGTGGTGATAGGGGCGGGGCATTAGATGGTGAAGTGGTGGTGAAATATAGGGTGGAGAAGGAGGTGTAGGAGCTTGAAGCAAGCACAGGAGAAAGAAAGGAAGATGAGGGCATAAACAATGCGAAGTGCCATGGTGAATGAGATGACAGAGAGTTGGCACAGTATGCGGGGATTAGACGCAGGAAAGGAAAGGAAAGGAAAGGAAGATGGGGGATTATAACCAATGTAGAGAGAGAGAGAGAGAGCGTGTGTGTGTGTGGAGATCGAAAGGAGGCGTGCATGCGGATAAGATGAAAAAGCTCCTGGTTTCTCTCTTGGGCCAGCCACGTGCCCCGCCTCCTCGACACGTGCGGATTGTTAAGCCTCCATAGAGTGATGCCACGTGTTATATTATGCCATGTGTGACAGACTCGTTGGATCTGCGGTCGTTGACCGCTTGTGTATATAAAATTAAACATACACAACGTGTGAAGCGGATTTTGAGGACAGCTTGTGATTCACGGTCCCAAGAAAAGAGGATTTTGGATGGGTGGCGATGGGGAGGAGTTTGTTATCAATATCATATCAGATAGGGCGGGCCTGGCGTTTGTTCCTATCACCTATTAGACTGGATTCTAAAACGATTATGCATAATACCTTAAAAACTGTAAAACATGTTAAAGAAATATTGCCCGGTAGAATCGGCCCACCTAAACCATTGGGAACAATATTTTTACTTAATTTTAATTTTATTTTTATTTTAGACTAGACTAATCAAGTCTAATCAAACCAACAAACAGCTAGTTCGATCCATTCTCGATAGCTGTTAGTATTTGTTTTATTTTTCCCATCTTTCCTACCATCGAAAAATAAAACTTTTGAACAGCTCTTAAGACCAAAATCAACCGTGTTTGGTTGGTTCAAAGATACAATTTTGGAACTGCTTTACCCACTTGAGTTGTAGGTTGTACAAGGTGGTTCGATATTTATACTTTTTCATACCGCCCAAGAAAAGCCCAAGTCCCAAAACGTTACTTTAGAAATACCCTTTTCACAACAGAATAGTGGTTAATAGGTTGCACCTTCGAACCAGTGTTTTATATCATGGCAAAACAGGAGTAAAAAAACTCGAACATTTGAGGCCTCGTCCCAAAAGTATACCAATCCTTAGTATTGCGTCTTATTTTTGTTTCATACATACATTTCCCTAGAAGTAAAGGAGAAATCAAAGTTCGTGATGAGAAACATTAAGCACCCAATGAAACCAACCAACCAGCCAACCAAATAGAAGCACCATGATAAGATCCAAGGGGAAGATTCACCAGAGGATGATGGAAAATAAATATGGAAGTTAACTGTTGTTTTAAGGCTAAAAGAAGCAGAGTCTAAGAGTTTTTGGTTAACTTCAAAAAAAAAGAAAAATGAAGAAGTAGAAGAAGAAGAGCATTGTATTGCAACCCATCTGCAATGCCTGGTTCTTAGACATCATTTTTCTTCTTCCCACCTGAGAATGAGTGAATTAGTCCCATGAGGAGAGGGGTAGGCCTATATGCTAACCAACTTTTTGTGTTCTATCCTCCTCCAGGCTTTGGAAACACATAAAATATGTGTTCCCTCAGATCATACATTATTAACCTGTCAAATAAATTGAAGAAAAAAAAAAAATTCCCCTGTCAAAAGGAGGGGAAGAGTTTGTGGATGGCAAGCTTTGTTTCCTGCAAGGGATTTCAAGAAGTTAGGTTTGAAATCCAAAATCAAGCACATGTTCCCTGCTGATCCTCTTTCTTCCTTTAAAAACCACAAGGTTATGTGTACTTGGTTACGCCATATGTTACCTATTGTCATTTGGATTGGATTGTGACTGTGTAGGTGAAAGGTCTGGTCTAATTTAACGGGTCCAAACTAAAATTTAACAAACATAAATTTAAGACACATTGGCATTGGATCAAACTAACTTTCTGATTTAGACGCGATTTTGGAAAAAGAACCGCTTTGGACTCCAATGTTATGTTTTTGGGAAGGGTCTAAAAAGCCCATAACTTTCCAATCAATGACAATATGGGGGTCAGTGCGTAACAATTTTTTTGTCAATTACATGGTGAAAAACTCAATTTTGGGCATTTCCTCTTCTTTGAATAACACTAGTGGACTGCAAAATAAAAGTATCAATTTTCGGATAACTTGATTGGGTGTTGGAAATTTCATATATCATGGCATAGAACCAAATAGAGAATTTGATGGGTTTTGAAATTTTGATACAATTTAAATTAATCCCATTGAATTTTGTTATATTGGAAATTTCGTATATCATGGCATAGAACCAAATAGAGAATTTGATGGGTTTTGAAATTTTGATACAATTTAAATTAATCACATTGAATTTTGTTATATTTTCATATTAGGGTGTTTTCCCGCAAGTGAAGCATTGTACTGGCACTTGAGGGTATAACCCTTGAAAGAACATAGCGGTAGAATAACATTCAAGCAGCGATAAGACTCAGATGATGATAATGATGACAGTGAACAATAATAATCGCAACTAAAAAAAAAGATAGGTCACAAAGCTCTGAAAAGGCTTAACCATAATTACAAAATACAACAGAACAATTTTCATTGTAGTTGAAGGTTGATTAAAAATTGAAAAATTGTTTCATGCGGGCTGGACCGCATGACTACATATGCAGTCCAAAAGGTGTAAAGCATCCATCTTAAAGATGGATGCAAGTAGGTTAACGGTCCAAATGTTTTCTTACTAAAATTATTATTTTTAGTTTTAAAAATTTATTTATTTTTTCATATTCATGATCAACATCTTAGATATTACATGTCCTTAAAAATTAAGCCCAAAAAATACATCTCAAAAATGGATTTATTAAGAGGCCCGCATTTCTATATATGTGGGCTCGGCCGCATAAAAACCGGGTCCTTAAAAATTTGGCCAATTAAAATTATAGACTGTGGCTCAAATTATGGACTGGCATGGCCCAGCCCCTCTTGGCCTCACAATCACACACTCAAGTTGAAAGTAGCTAGAAAACCCAACTCTCTCTGTCTCTCTCTCTGCATCCGTATTGAAATTTCGACGAACATGGGCAAAGCTGACTTCTCACTCCTGCTGAGAAAGGAGGATCTCATCCATAATGGGCTCAAGTTCCAAGGAATAAGGTCCGGCTAAGTACACCACTTGATGACATTAGCTAAATCTCCTTCAGTAATCACTCTCTGCTGACTAGGGATAAGTCTCGAAGCCCCCATCCTCAAGGATCAAAGCTCAGCCTCACAGTGGTGCATCCTGCCTTGGTATGACCAGAGGATCCCTAAACCATCCCCCATAGCCTGAGATATGCTGATCCCTTGGAACATTGCCATCAAAACTCAGTACAAAGAAATCTCCTCCAGGAAATATCATGCATATAAACTACAAAGAAGCTTGTCACTGTGTCATGTAGAATTAAAACTTTCACTTACTAAGTTACACTTTGCTTTGAGCTTGAAACGTAGCTGAACAAATTATAAAATAACATATTGTTTATAAGATCATTCACATTTGGTACAAACAGCTGGGGGTGATTCTAGCGAAGGTAGATAGCCTTTTTGCAAATTCTGGACTTCTTCCCGAAAGGAAAAAGTTCATATAAGGTATCTACCTTATACCATAGAAGTAAGGTGCACCCGAGAACTTATTGGAAAATGTTGTTCGATGCTGAAAAACCTTTCAATTAATCATCTGGACCTCGAGATGTAGAATGTGAAAAAAAAAAAAAAACTTTTAAGTCTTAGGAATAGTGCATCTTGTAATGTATATATAAATCATTTATTTTCAAGATTTTCAATTATTTGTGGATCTGTTTGATCTACGCTTTGTTTGAAGCTTTAAACCTTATATTAAAATAGATTTGCAAACCACAACAAAGATTTCTGACACTAGTACACTTTTGATAGTATTCGAGGGTGTGTCTTAGTGTCACGATTCTTGAAAGCTTTCAGTATTTATATAAGGAAAAAGTTTTGATAAGGTCGCAAATCTAAAAAGCCTCACCTCAAAACACACAAAAAATTGCAGTTCTAGTGTTGGAAACCTTCAAATCGATCACTATACCTTGACCATTATAGTTGTGAAAAAAGATTATGATTTCAAGTGTGCACGTATCCGCAAGATTTATACCCTTTTTTAAACTACAAATTTTATAATTACCTGAGGAAAATGATTTTAGAGCCAGAGACTTCCCATGGCCAGAGACTTCCCAAAAATTGGCGTAAGTTTACGTCTACAAAAAGATACGGTCAATTTGACCATATTCTTTGTTTTTTTTTCTTTTTTTGAATGTTCAATTTGACCATTTTCTTGGGTGGTTGTTTTTTAAAGAAAAATATTTTCTTTTCCCCCGATTATTAATTTCGTCCATGTAAATTTTTGAGATGGGAAACGATTCTTAAAAACTCAAAAACTACCTGTAAAAATGGGTTTTCTATTAATAGAAATCCATTTGAATAATTTATTTCTTGTCTTCCTCAGGTCTCTCTTAAGAAGGTGAGGTTTGAGGAAGCATTTCCATAAATAATTCCAAAATTTAATTTAATTTCATTGTTTAATTTGAAGAAAATGGTGAGCACTGAGAGCATGGGTTTCATGGTGATCGTTGCGGTCTCGAGCGGTGTCATGCTCGTCGCCTTCGAAGCACAAAAACGTCTCACATTGAATATTTTGAAGAAGATGGAATTAGAATTTGGTTAAGTTTTTGTTTTAGTTTTTTTTTTTTTTTTTTTTTTTGGAGTTTTATAATTTTAAGTTGAAGTGGGAGGATTCAATTGAGTTGGGGAAGATTTTTCCCTTTTTCAGAGTAAAACAATCATTAGGAATCACGATTTTTAAAACAGATATTATGCAGAATTTAGAGAGTTTTGGTTTATTCAGTTTTGATCTAGAATTTGTGGTTTTTTTCCTTTTTCCCTCCTTTTCTGTGTTTGGGTCATAGGCAAGTTGATCGTTTCTTTTTCTATTTCTTTTGCCTTTTTTGTATCATAATATTTTGCATTGGACTCTTTTTCTTTTTGCCTTTTTAAATGAGTAGGTATCGGATATTGCTCAAAGTTTTTTTTCTTTGGTGCTTGTATTATTTTTTTGTTCGTTTTTAAAACGGGATTAAGGCCTTTTTTTTCCGTTATGGCTTTTCCAACATGCTGTACGTATTTGGTTATTTGGGTTCTCCTCTCTCTCTCTTTCGTTGTTGGTTAGGGTGGGCAACGGGTCACGTTGGGTCCCGACCAAGATGTGGACCCGAGTCAAAAAATTATATATATATTAAAGATATACATGTATTATTTAAATATTATTAATAAAAATATATAATTATATTAACTTAAGTATTATTAAAATATTATATATTAAATATTATTTAAACAATAACATTATTTGGATTGGCTCCACATGGACCTGGACCCTGACCCGAACAGTATTCGAGTACAATATTTAGACCCGAATCTAACCTGCTAGGTCCAATTTTTGCCCCTCTACGTAGATCCAGGTTGGGCCTACACTATTTGAAGGTAGGCTCTAATTTGATTGTTTAGGGTGCCCTAAACAATCAAATTATAGCCTACCTTCAAATAGTATCGAGAAATGTGGTTTTAATATTGAAAATCTTTGTGATAGCCATAAAATATATTTTCATCTTTATTTATAAATTTTAAAGCTTCAAAAACAATATAGGTCGTCGTATCTATGAAAACTTGAAAATTTTGAAAATTGACGGTCTAAAAATACATTACAAAATACACTATTTTTAAAACTTGAAATCCATTTTTTTCTCATGTTCATACATCTTGATATTGAGATGATCGAGGATACATGGGCATCAAAACAACCTCTTCATGAAATTTTTGAGGTAGGCTCTTATTTGATTGTTTAGACCCTCGGCTCTGTATAAACTTTTCCCTTTTTTTAACGTTTATTTTTCCTGATTCATTTGCAAGAGTAAGGTTATCATTTTTATAAGTTTACTCTTTTGAGTATTGGAACTCACATGAACAGATAAAGGCCCTTCACCTTTTACTTTGCCGTAGGGTGAGAAAACACTTTTTCGCACTTTAAAGTGCCTCTTTCGCTATTATAGAGAAGGGTCGAGGATCTGAAACCTGAATTTTAGATCCTATTCGGATTTGGGTATGAATTCAATATTTGAATCTAACTTGGTTCAGATCTGCATATAGGTTGATCTAATTTGAAATATGATCCTGGATCTGACCCAGCTATTTCAAATATTATATATATTATTTTTTGTTATATATTATTTTATAAATATAAAATATTTGTTTGGATCCGATCTGATCTGGATGCCATATTTAACTTTTTAGATCTAGCAATTGATCAAAATATTATGGATCCGATCAGATGTAGATCCCATGTATAGAACCGAATCTAAATCTAGATAGATCCGAACCGGATCCGACCCATTCTCAGTCTTTATTATGGATGATTTTTTTGGTGAGAGAAAGAGATCATTTTTTTTTTCTTTTTTGAAACATCACGTAAATTTCATTGAGCTAATGAAGGAGTTACGGTTACAAGATAGAAAACCAAAAAATAAAACAAAAAGAGGGCTCTAGACCAAAGTCACATGTTTCGTAAGATAGTCAGCATCCGAATTGCAGCCTCGAAGAACATGGGTGAAGCTGACATCTCTCTCTCGCAGACTTGCATTTAACATATTTATTGTTTTTGGGAAATTTATCAAACATGTGTCTAAAACATGAACTATCTAATATATTTAATTATATTTATTTAATTACAAAAATTTGATTAAATACACGTGATCATGAGTTAGTGTATAATTGAAAGTGGGTAAAATGTAGTTTTCAGCTTATGGGACCAACTTTAATACGGCATTCATACTATTTTTAAAAGGCAAATTATATAATAAAATCAGTAGACAAAAAATCACAATCATCCCTAATTGTCAAATATGAAATAATGTGGCTGGGGGTACAAAACTGACCATGCTCAAAATCTGAGAAATTATTTTTGAACATTGTATTGGACAAACAACACATCTTATCCATCAAATCTGTCATATGGAGGTTTGAGGTGTTTGTCACTGTTCGACAAATAAGCATTTCATTGTATTCAATACCTTCTAAAATTTCCAATACTGCATAATTTGAATCTTAGGCTTCTATTTTGATTGGTTCAAGGAAAGACAAATCTTTTCATGAGCCTGGTCGACTTCTTTTTTAGGTAATTCAATTGTAAAAAGCAAATTTGAGATGTAAAATTGTTGATGTCAATACTAACTAGTAGACCCCAATTTAAAGAGAAACCATGACAACCTTTCCAATCACAAAGGCTAGGTTTTAATGTCCTACACCCAACAATATGGATCCATATTTAACTAGGATTTCTTATTTTTTTTGGGTAAGTAATTTAACTGGGATTTCTTTTCTCTTTTTGGATAAATAATTTAATTAGGATTTCCACATCGTCCCGCCCTCTATTCCCACCGTCAACATGTCAAAAAAATGCCCCAAAAAAAAAGATAAAAATGAGAAGTAATGAGGCAGGGGTGGACCATCAGTCCCCTTCTAAAGGGTAACAAAATTTAAAATCGGGAGAAAATAAATTACCCCTGATCAAAAAGATTGGAATGTCCCACATAGGCTAATTTATTTTGTTTATTTTTCTTATTCCTTTCTTTTACTGTTTGGTTCATGGAGCAGCAACTGAGAGAGAGAAGCAAAAGAAGATGGTGAGGTTTGCAAAGGATGTAGTTGAGCCATCACACGGTAACAAGGAATATAGGAAGTGTAGGTCGAAGAGAGAGAAGGCACAGGCAACCCGAAACTCGACAACTTTCGAGCATGAGGAGAGATCGGCAAAAGATGAATCATCGGATATTCCACTGAACCGACTAGCTCTTTACAAAGGGATGTGGCAATATCGAATGCATAAAAGACACGCCCCTTTGATGTTTTCATAGTAAACTGCAATTTCCATAAAAAAAATTTAGAAAAAATATTTTATTTATTTAATTTAATTAAACAAAAATCAACATTTTTAAGTTTCAATTGGCATTTTAGAATTATAAATATTTAGTGCTCCTTTTGTTTTGGACATCTCTCTCTGTTGAGCTTTCCCTTTTTGTTTTAAGGTACAAACCTACTGGGCCCAACTTCGAATTAAAACTTAGAATATCACATAAGAAAGTGGTTGAAGCATTGAGGACCATATCACTAAGTCCAAGGTTCCAATGTGGCCTGGCTCCACTCCAAAAAGAATCTGGTCTTCATAGAAGAAGGGGAAAATATGTGAAAACACATTGGTTTCTTTCTTTTTCATCCCATAATGGCATGATTGTTTTGTTAAAGAAAAGGGATTGGTCACTTGATTTTGTATTTTGCCTTGCACACACCATATTTGATGTTTCTTGCTTTTCATAGAGAATGGGTGATTGTTTTCTTTAGGTTTTTAGAGGTCATGCTAAACCTAAGGCTATTTAACTTCTTTACCTTAGACCTACCATTAAAAAATGAGAGAGAGAGAGAGAGAGAGATCATTTATACTTCTTTTTTTTTGTAAGTAATGGCTTTTTTTTTTGTAAGTAATGGATTGCACATTGATGCCATATATATGACATGCATTATAGAACCCCCTGTCAACTTCTTTCCTTGTAACCTAGACTCCTCTTTTTTCCAACTTTCACTTGATGAATTAGAGAGAGGGAGATGCTCATTTTTGTGGAGATGCTTTTTTTTTATCTTGTGGGAGAGGGAGCATGTGTTATAATCACTTCCTAGAGTAAAGTCCTGTGTTGGAGTATCTTTGGAACCTCAAATTTAGGATCATAACCTCTCCAACCTTCCCTCTAACCTGAAAACAAAATTATATGCACTCTAGATCTATTTTTTTAAAAAAAAATGTTGAGGATTGAATAGAGTTTATAATTTTTGGACAGTTAGATGTAAGTGTTTAGGAACTGAAAATCATTTTTACTTTAAATATTACTCGTTTGGTAATATTGTAAAATTGATCCCAAAAATTTTGATCAAGAAGATCCTCATGAACAAGTGTTGTGGCTGAGGGAGTGGGTAGTGCTCCAATATGATCACACCACAGACACTCCTTTTCATTTACTTTTTCTAGATAATGGCTTGGTTTGTGGTACTATGTTTACACCAGCACCAATTGAAATGGTGCTTCATTTTTCTTGTCCTTATATTCAAGTTCGGTCATGACATCCCATCATGCTTCTCAAAGGGATGGACCTTTGTGAAGGGAGCAAACACAAGAAAAAGTCACATAAAACGCAACCCCATCAAGAAAGAAAAACTCTAAAAAATGAGTAAATACTTGCATTTGTACATGGAGCTGGACAATTGTTTACAGTGATTCCTCATGCCATGTCCCATTATGTGACAGTGATTTGAATGATGGAAATGCCAAGAAAGTCATGGAAAAGGAAATTGGAACTTTATTTAGAAGCTAGGCCTTTTTCTTTACTTATACCTTTTTTTGTTTTTTTATTGAATGAATCAAAATTTTGTTTACTGTGGTCACATGGAAAGCACCCCAATGGCCATGTCGCTGCTCTTTGAGAATCTCCCCAAGAGCTTTAAGTGGTGTCCCATCCCCAAGTCTCTTTGTTATGAAGCTTGTTATAACTGATAATTTATTTTTCAATAAAATTAATCTTATAATGAATTAATCATTGTTTGGCACAGCTCCTCATTTAATTATCTGAAATAAAACTTATAGCTCGTTTTGTATACACGGTTATTTTTTAGAGCTATTTTTATTTTATTCAATGTATTTTACTGAAGATCACATGTTTTAACTAGAAACAACTAAAAATAGCTGAAAATCACAAGAAAAGTTAAATAATCAAATAATATTATATGGGATGCAAGGTATGTATCAATGAGCTCTCAAAATAACATTACGTAAAGTTCATTAATTTCAAAGGATGGGGTTTCTATGAGCCGACCGACTCATAATTACATATGCGGGCCCTCTTTAAAATTCATTTTAGATGATTTTTTTACTATTTATTTGTAGATTCATCATGCCAAGATGATCATAAATATGAAAATAAAAATAAAATTTTATAATTAAAAATATATAGTTTTAGTATTTTTTATGAACCATCTATATCTTATTTATGAACAATACACTTTAGATTTGTGTGCTAGTAGGCTCTTGTGCCCGCCTACTCATGAAACAATTTTCCAATTACAAATAAAATAGTCTGCTCTTGATATGATTAACAGTCATCCAAACAAGCCCTTATTGTTGAGAGAGATATAGTGATGGTTATTTCCATAGGCCAATCGAAACAATTATAAAGCTTCTTATCTTTTTAAGCCGCCGTAAATAGAATTACTTCAATTTTGTCTGAAATTCTTGCTTCTTATCTTTTTAAGCCGCCGTAAATAGAATTACTTCAATTTTGTCTTAAATTATTTTTTCTTTTAAAATAAGATCAAGTAATATGTTGCATGCACTAACCAGTTTTTTAGTGTGTAATTTTAGAACCATTGTTTTAAAATGAACCTAATAGTTTTAAAATAAACCCGTTATTAGGTTCGGTGATAGTCAAAACTACCGTACCTACTTTTCATTAAAAGACAAAGAGTACTATGGTAAAAAGAGAATGAGTTTTTAGACAACACAAGTGATCTCTATAAAAGTGGATAAGAAAAACATAATACCCATATTTTTAGGGTTATCTCTTTGAGGTTTATGGGAATCGATCTCCAATATGGAGATGGGTCTCCAAGAGAGAGAGACATGGCTTTTGAGAAAGAGGCGGTATTTTCATGAGTTTTTGATTGGTTAACTTTAACTTCTAGGGAGAGAAAGTCTCTCGGTTACCCTCGAGGTTATCTTTCGGTATTATGGTGGGAAATAATGTATTGATCGACAGTGTTGCTCGGTCGGGAGAGCGAATTTAGAATAGAAAATCATTTGTGGTTTTTTACCGATGTTTAGAGATAGTTATTATCTCTTGTAACCAAAACTGTAATCTTCATTGAGATAGTGGATTTCTATTTGTCAAGGCGGTGGATGTAGGCCTACGGAGTAAACCACGTAAATTATGTGTTGTTGTGGTGTGATTTTAATGTTTGTTTTATTTCTTAGGCTCGATTTATAGTTATGTTCATCCACTTCGCATTTAACCGATAGTTATGTTCATCCACTTCGCATTTAACCAATATATACACGATCTTGGGTGGAATCTAGATATTTAAGATATTCGTTTCCACAAGCTAGGATTCCCAAGAACCCTACACCCGCAAAAACAAATGAATGAGAGAGAGATGAACAAATAATGTTATCCTCAACGAACATATGCCACATTTTTATTATTTTCATACAATAACGAACGGCCCTATGCACAGATCATTCGAGAAAAGTAAAAGCCCATTTTAAGGGTCCACTGATCCAAATTAATATTATTTTGCAATAAACTCTCTCTGGAGAAATATCTAGATGATAGAGGTGGTTTGCTTACAGCGCTCGTTCCATTAAATTCGTTTAGGATCGTGGCTTTGTGATGTTCTGCGAAGCCCTACGTCAAGAGCTCTACCGGAAAAGGATTGAAAAAGGGTTTCCAAGGAGGTCATAAATTCTCCCAGCCATTACATATCAAATTGTATAGCTTGGGGTGTGATACAAATGTCGAAAATATTTTTTTGAACTTTGAGTTTTATCGATGATACATTTACAATCACTTGATTTGAAACACACTTACAACTACTTGATTTGAAATCTGACGGACAAGATTTGTTCTGGCCTTCTTGCATTACAATTAAATGGTATCCTTGTATACTTTTTCACAAAAAAATGCAATTGAAGTAAATTTATTAATGGAAAAGGTTTGTATAGAGCCAAGGCTCTAAACAATCAGATTAGAGCCCACCTCAAAATTTTCACTAGAAGATGTTGTTTTGATGCCCAAATATCCTCAAATTGGTCATCTCGACATCAAGATGGATGGACATGAGAAAAAAAACAGCTTACAAATTTTAAAAAAGTGCATCTTGTAACGCATTTTTAGACCGCCAATTCTCAAGATTTTCAAGTTCTCATATATCTGCTTGATCTACATTATTTTTCTAAGCTTTAATTTTTATAATTAAAGATGAAAATATATTTTAAGGCTATCACAAAGATTCCAGTATTGAAACCACATTTCTCTACACTATTTGAAGGTGTGTTTTACTTTGATTGTTTAGAGCCACGACTCTATACAAACCGCACCTTTTATTAAAATATCCATAATATCTAAGTATTTAATATTTTGTTTATATGCTTTGGTTTTATTTTAAAATACTCATGAAAAGGTACGTGTTCAAAAATTGTCTCAAAAGTGTAAAATATTGAATAGTATATTTCTCATGAGTATTTGATAAGTTTCCCTCTAATTAATTTCGTAAAACTTCAATTTGTTAGTAAAATTTGGCTCTTGGGGCGGTCAGTGATGTGGAGTCCACTTCGTTGTAACGCTGCTCAATACGTTTATTTCATGTAAAGAAGTTGACATCATAACTATTATGCCCAACATTTCTATTGATGAAATTGTTATCAATTGTTATCAATTATGGAATAAAAGGTTTAAAACTTAGATGTATAATATACTTGTACCATTTACATACGCTACAGTAGGTTTACTATTTATATACGCTATAGTACGTTTAAACATTAGATATATAATATAGGAGCACGTATACTAGGGTGAAGTTTGTATGAGGTAACAACCTTGAACAACCATGTTAAGTTGCATCTCAAAATCTCATTAAAATATGTATTTTTTTTTTTGCCAAAACTCCTATCATGGCTTGAAATCTATTTTTCACCCCTATAATAAAATTGAAAGCTCCAAAAATGGTGCAAATCTAAAAATAAACGGTCTAGATGATGTGCTATAAAATGGACTAATTTTATAACTTGAAATTCAATTTTTCTTTCATATCTATATACATCGAGATAAAGATAATCAATTGGAAAATTTTCTAGTAAAATACAACCTTTTACAATAGGTTTTTGAGGTGCCACTTACTTCTACAGTATAAGGTTGATACATTATATAAACTTTTTCCCATATACTATTTTCCCTCGGGTAGAAAGCCTACTTAAGAGGATTTTTTTAATCTAAAATTTTGGGAACTACTTTATAATCATTTCAAAAATAAATTTTGAATTTTATGCTATCTAGTACTTAGGTTTCACTATCAAGGTCTCAGCTTAGTCTCAAGATATTTTCTTTTTAAGTGCATAGATAGTGCAATTTCGAATGTTTGTTTTTTGAAGTCAGTCTACGTGTTGACGATGTTACATCCCCAAATCTTGGTATCCTAAAGTTATTCCTGGATTAGATTTCATTCGAGGGAGTAAATGGGCAGTATGCTATCAAATAATTTGTTTTCTATCACATATACTATCCTCCTGTTAGAGCTGGTGTATATTTATTCCCCTCATCAGATACCTACTTGGGAGGAATTTTTCAATATGGAATTTTGGTAACTACCTAAGAATCACTAGATGGTTACTCTCAAAAGGTACGATTTGGATTTTGAGTTGTCCAACACTTAGATTTCACTTCTTGAAAATTAGACAGCCTCTATTAAATCTTGACACTTTATTTTTTTTCAAGTGTATAGAGATTGCCATTAGAAATTATTTTTTATCAAGGTTAATCTATGATTTGAAGAGATTACATCCCATTTGGCTTCCTAAAATTAATCTTAGAAGGGGTTTTACCTAGGAGAGCAAACATACAATACACTATAACTTTTGCCTTTTGTTTTTTTCAGCATGTCAATGCAATTTCTAGAAGGCCTAAGTTTTATGAAAAAAGAAAAGAAAAGGTAAAGCCTCTCCTTAAAATTTAAACCAAAAAATACTTGGGGCATGGGAAACCCTTACGACAGCTTTAAAATATTTTTTCACGACTGATTATGAAATTTGTAGCACTTGCGGAACTCGTAAGTTTGTGAATACTAGAAAATAGATTGTTTAAATATTTTATTATAATCTGTACTATTTTTGAAGCTTGAAATCCTAATTTTTTTATATCCATAATAATTAAATTGGAAAATATAGATTTGAAGATTTTTAGATTCCAACACAACAATTTCCCTCATATGTAAGGCAAAGGCTTTACGTTTTTTTTTTGAAGACCTATGCGTTATTTTAACCTTTTACGCTGCATAACAGTTAAGTTAAAGTATGCACCCAGTTCCGTGAGATGTAAACCACGATTTTTGCGATCCAATAATTTAAAACTCGTATATTTCGAATTTTTTGGGAGAATTTTGTTTTTTAGAAAATAAAACTTTAGGTTAAAATTATGCTATATATGACGCACGTGTGACGCCCAACAACCACTTGCGGAAATTGAATGATATGGCCGGCTCATCATTTCTGCAGTTTCTTCAATAAACAACTCTCTTCCTCTCTATCTCTCTCTCTCTCTGCGAATAAATATATCGTCTCTCTCTCTCTCTAAAACTTGGATGAACAACTCTCTCTCTGAATTGAAATGTTCATCTCTCTCTCAAACTCCAATAAACAACTCTCTATCTCTCTCCCCGTGAATAAAAGCGAAATTGTAGAAATTAGAAAATGGAGTGTAGTTGAAACGTTGTGGTCGGTCTCCCACCTAAATCATTTTCATTTAGATGATGGATCCCTACCCACAATGATGCCCTAAACTCTATAGAATATATATATATAGAGAGAGAGAGAGAGAGAGTCCTCGTAAATAGTCTGATCAATGCAATCGTAAACCGATATAGAGAGAGGAAGTAAAAGTGATGATTATTTTTGTGGTCTTGCATTCCTCGTGATTCTTTTTGAGGAACCAATGATCAACTGCCACCAAACCAAACTATGAATAAATGTGGCCCCACTTACAATCACCGACTTGATGTATCCCGTGGCTTTAGACTCTAGAGAGAGAGAGAGAGACCGACTTGATGTGTCCCGTGGGACTAGATAGAGGCTCTAGACTCTATAGAGAGAGAGACCGAATTGATTGTCCCGTGGAACTAGAGAGAGGGGTCTCCTTTAGTACCAAATATATGCTGCTATACCCTTGGAGACAGAGAGAGAGTCCAATGACCCTACAAAAACAAGGTCCATGCCCTGTTAACGAAACATGAGAGAGAGAGAGATTTTTGAAGAGATATGCAGAGGGCAAAAGCCCTTTTGAAGAGGAAACGACGAATTGGGAACAGCATTCACATCTGAGGATCACTATGATCGAGTGAAAAGCTCGCAAATAAATGTGTGGCCCTTTGTGTCTCTCACTTTCAATAAATCTTTATCTTATAATTATTTATTTTTAATATAAGATAGTCACAGTCAAAATCATACGGTTAGGATATATCACAAAGTTTAAGAATTGTTTACAAGATTCACGTACCGTTAATAACACGCTACAACCGTCCAATTTCCCATCTAACAGTTAACCTTGATCGTGAACTTTCTTGTAGTAAAAACTAAATAGTCCCATTGGATATTACACCATTTGATTCGATATTTCTTTAGCCATTAACAAATCTCCCACTTAAGGCACCATGTCATATTAACACCGAGTTACGTGTATAAGAAGCTCACAGCGATCTTTAACAGTCAAATGTGAACATTTGGAGGATATCAGTATACAACGGGATTCAAGGGAAAATCCTTTAGACTTCCAGTCCAAAGCGGCCCACCATAGCTACACTTTATCACATCTAATGATTAGGGTAATTGTGACTTTATTTTTTATTTTTTAGTAAAGGTAAATAGTCGTATTGTATCATTTATTTATATCCAGCTATTTTATCCTGCCAAAAAAATAAAATAAAATTCCTCGCATAAATTTTAAATGCCCAAATTTTAGAAAAAGGCAAAAATACTTCTAACCACACCCTTACTAAATCAGACGTAATCAATTGAGTTTGTGAAACGAGTGTTACAGGTCAAAAAATGACAAGGACTTAATCGTGGTATAGTATTTGATCACTTATATATTGTTTTTTTTGCGTATAATTTATCATTAATTGTTCTTTTACTTTACTTGTAATTCATTAGTTTTACTAATCCTCCCCATCACACATTCATACAAAAAAAACTCATATTATTATTTCTAAGGGCTTCCATTTCGTACCTCGGGAGCACAAGAGAGATTATAAGAAAGCTAGAAGTATCCTTTACAAGGCGTAAGACTTGTGAAAAGAAAGTAAAGCCTTACCTTGAAACCTTATTGGGAAAATACGTTTGGGCACAACAAACCTATGAAATTGATTTCTACCGCTGATTAAAAAATTTATAGTTCAAAAAATGGTATAGATCTATTGTGAATACCTATTTTCAAGGTGAAATAGATGTATAGATAATATATTCTAATATACACTTTTTGAGAACTTAAAATCTTAATTTATTTTTCACAACCATAATGATCGAAGCAGAGGTGGTGATCGATTTGGAGGTTTTTCTATGCTAAAAACTACAATTTTTGGTGAGGCTTTTCTTATTTTGAATTTTGATGGGGTTGCTATCCTATCAAAACATTTTTCATGGACAAAATGTTCAATAAAAAAAAACCGAAAGATTTCTTTCTGACCGAGGTGTGCATTGTCAATTTGCTCCCTTGGGCTAGGAACATCTTTTAGATACCAAAATTGTGGGGATGCAATCTTTAGACTTATTTCAAAAGTGAAGAGAAAAAAAAAACAACTCTACATGCCTAAGAAACATAACATTCCATTACAAATCATCTATTTTTATTTTTGAATTAATGATCCTATAAGATCCTCCTCCATCCATGTGTGTAGGACACTAAAAGATCACCATTAAAGTTGGTACCGATCTCTAAAAAAATTATCATATATTAGTGTGAGACTTGACTTTTATAAAAATTTGAGCCAATTTTAATAGTGATCCTTTAAGGATCACTATTAAAAGATAAGAGAAAAAAAAAACAACTCTACATGCTTAAAAAACATAACATTCCATTGCAAATCATCTAGTTTTATTTTTGAATAATGATCCTATAAGATCTTCCTCCATCCATGTGTGTAGGACACTAAAAGATCACCATTAAAGTTGGTACCGATCTCTAAAAAAATTATCATATATTAGTGTGAGACTTGACTTTTATAAAAATTTGTGTCAATTTTAATAGTGAGATCTTAGACACACATCCGTGGGAGAGGATCCAATAGAAATATTTTTCTATTTTTTTTTATATAAAAAAGTTTAAAGGTTAAAAACTCAAAATGATTTTCTTTAAAAATAATCATCCATAAATGTTTAAATATATTCCAAACCCGAGGGAATTGGCATAGAGAATATACTCCTGCAGGATGAAGCCACATTAGAGTCATAGCGGTCTCTTGAGGCTAAGAGTGAGTGACAAGGAGAGAGAGTACAGAGGAGGGGTGGGGGAGAAGACAAAGACAGAGGGAGTGATAAGAGAGAGAGAGAGAGCGATGGCACGTGGGAAGAGAGGGTAGAAGAGGTAATGGAGAGAGAGTGATAGACACAAATACGGCAAACATCGGAGTCAGCCTCCCTATTTCACTCATTCACATAAAAGCATTTATTTTGCACAAATCTCTGTCCTTTCCTTCGTGATTAGTACACACACCTATGAATTTCCTATTCCTATTCCTATCCCTTCGCTTACTCGCTTTTTAAGGATTTCCACCTGCGTCAGAGGATCCATCCCCTGTCTACAAAAACAAAAGACAATTACATTCTCTCCTCTCTCTCTTCTGAAAACCCACTTCTAAATTCTCTCTCTCTCTCCTCTCTATACTACAACTCCCCTACCTACTACAGAAGAACGAAACAACCCTCCTCCTCTCTCTCTCTCTCTCTCTCTACTACTACTACCTCCGTGTACTAAAACAAAACGAACATACTATCTCTCTCTCTCTCTCTCTCTCTCTCTCTCTAAATTCTGAAAACCCACTGCTATATCCTCCCTCTTCTTTCTAAAATTGAAACCCCTCTCCCCGAAGAAGAAGAAGAAGAACCCCCTTCTCTCTCTAAAATCCAATGCCCCTGACTCGTAGTGACAACCAAACTCAAGAACCTGTTTCTCTATCTACCTCGAAATGAAGCCTCCCCAAGAACCCCCAAAACCCCTCATGGATCCCTGATCCCCTCCCCTCTCCTCCCATTTTATTCAATTATTGTTATTATTACTGATACCCAAAGGACAGAACCAGACGGAGAAACCTCCTTCAAGATGGCCCGGCAGCCGGTATCCCGACCGGATTCCGGCCGCCGAAAACCCCTCAAGAAAGAAACCCACACCGGCAGCAGTTTCCGCTTTGCAGAAGTCGCCGGCGCCACTGCCGCTGAATGTGCTGCCGTCTTCTGCTGTTGCCCCTGCGGCCTCCTGAACCTCCTCATCCTGGCTGCCATCAGGCTACCAGCGGGCCTTTTCCATCGCGCTCTAAAGAAGAGGAGGCGGCGAAGCAGAGCCAAGCGGGCCTGCAGCCTGACCACCCCCGAGAGGCATCAACAGGTGGAGCTGCCTTCGCCGGTTGTGGCCGAGATTTGGCCCGAAAAGTCTCTGGAAAAGTCTGAGGTGGTCGCGCCGGCAATGCATGAGGCAACATCGCCGGAAAAGTTAGGGGCGTTATCGGATATGGAGGAGGTGGAGATGATGTGGGGGAAGCTTCACACTGGCTTTTGGAGGACCCCCTCTGATAGGGAACAGTGATTCACTTTTCCGGCGATCCGTACAATGGTAATCCCTATTTCTTCTTCTTTTGTCTGAGATAATTCTGTGTAAATATATTGAAAAATGGAAAGCAAACTGTCGATATTGAAATTTTGAAATTGGAAAACCCATGAAAATGGGGCTTCTGTTATTTTCATGGACCGTACTGTGTTATGATTTTCAACGGTTCAGACTTCAGATTCGTTGATGTTTTTGAATGAAGGGTTTGGATCGAAGCTCTGGCTTCTTAGGAAACAGATCAAAAGGGACCGAACCATTTCATTTTACGAGCAAGGTGCACTTAAAATAACCTAATAGAGAACGTTGTTTTTATGCTAGGAAACCCTCAAATGTGCCTCGTCTCGAGATTCATAGGAAAGAAAAAAAAGAAAAAAAAAAGAGGGATTCTCAGTCTTAAAAATAATTTTATTTTTTGTCCAGACCTAACACATCACCATCTATTTTCAAAATTTTAAAATGTTTTTAAATGTGCATATCATCACCATTTATTTCTAAGAAAGCGATAATAGATTTTCATATCATTGCTTGCGTCACCGAAACTGCATATTCCGTATAATTTTATTATCTTGAAGGGTGGAAACTTTTAAAGTTTAGAGAGAGGGAGAGCAGTAGTGATCGGTGAAAGCGTAGCGTAAAAGTGGTGGAAAAAAAAGGCTAATCGGCCTCCTCTATATATTATGTTCTCACGCTCCCATGGCCAGAAGACTGAGATAGCAAGAGTTTCATTTTTCATCGAGGACCTCTTTAAATCACTAGATAGTAGATTTAAAAAATAATAATTTGAGGTTTCAAACTATTATTTCTTCTGATTGTAATTTTAGATTTTTGTAATGAAATACCATATATAATTAGATTTGAGTAGATATTTTCTACTTACATCTGTAATTTCCTTTGGGTAGATATTTCTTTTTGACCAATGTTCTTTACTTCATTCGATTTTTCAATTGAAATTTTGAGGATGTAATTTCTTTTGAGTAAATTTGAGTTCGAGTAGAATTGGTGACATGAAATTTCAAACACTATTTTTTTCTAATGTAATTTTCTTTTAGTAGATTATTCTAATAAAATAAGGAACATTTGTTAAAATAAAAATCTTTCGGCATAACGAGCACTTATGAAATGTTTCGTTGGCAGTACGGTTTACTTTGAAGATCTGCGAGAGGATTTTTTTCAATATAAAATTTGGAGAAGCATTTAAGAATTATTAAATGATTATTTTAAAAATATTATTTTTTATTTAAAAATAAAATTTTGAATTTTTTAACCCCTAGATCTTACTAGAAAGTGACTCTATTCAATCACGAGATGTTCTTCTTCTTTTTTTCAAGTGTATATAAGGTATAATGAGGTTTTTTTTTTTATGTTTTTTTACTGGGATTAATCTTTAATCTTATAAGTTGAAAAAGTCACATTCTCAAAATTTAAGGTCTTAAAAATAATTCCATACAGGATTTTACCCGAGAGAATAATGGACATCTACTCCCGCGGGAGTACATTATCTTTTGGCATAGCAAAAGCTCCTGTTGAGGTGAGGGGTGGTGAGAGTTGAGAGGAAATGAGCACATTCAAGTATCTTGGGAATGTTTGGACTTGGGACCATAAAAGTAGAGAGAGTGGAAAATGTTGGACCAAAAGTAGAGAGAGAGAGAGAGAGAGAGAGAGAGAGAGAGAGAGAGAGAGAGAGAGAGGAGAGGAGAGAGAGAGAGAGAGAGAGAAGAAGAGAGTAGTAGTAGTAGTAGCTTGCTTGCTTGCAGGGATAAAATGATTACAGAGAGAGAGAGAGAGAGAGAGAGAGAGACGAAGGGCTTAAGCATTTGGGCAAAATGACTACCCCGAAACGAACGCGTGTAAGACACATGGGTCAAGGGACTTTATGCTGTGAGTTGGTACGCCACGCGGCATCCACCGTCAGATCCTGATAACGAGAGGTGGAGACTGAGGTTTTGTCATCACGAAGTACAGTTTCAGCGTAGCACTCACCGTCGGTTACTGGAAACGGACGGTAGATGTGACACTCGTGGCGTGCGGTTACTGTACACAAGTAACGCTCAGTGTTGGACATCGGATACACACTGTCCCTATTAATCAATGCTAATGCCATGGTATGTTGAAGTCATGCATGTAATGTAATGAATGGAAAAGTTTATATAGAGTCGAGGCTCTAACCGATCAAATTTGAATCTACTTCAAAAATTTCTATTGTTTTAGATGCTCAAATATTTTCAAATTGATCGTCTCGACATCGACATCAAGAAGGATGTACATAAAAAAAAAATTGATTTCAAGTTTTAAAAAACGTGTATTTTAAAACGTAATTTTGAACCATCAATTTTCAACATTTTTAAGCTTTCATTGATAAGTCGATCTACATTATTTTTGAAGCGTTAAATATCATAAATAAATATGAAAATATATTTTAAGGCTATCACAAAGATTTCCAATACCGCATTTCTCAACACTATTTAAAAGTAGGCTTCAATTTGATTGTTTAAGAGCCTAGGCTCTATACAAACCACCGCACCCTTTAACTTTTCAAGTTATATTAAATATTTATAGGGTCCGTTTCGATATACTTGTTATCACCAATAGATAACTACTTCAGTAAAATTAAAGAAAAATATACAATGAGACCATTTATCTTTGGTACAAGGTAGTCACGATTAATCTTGATCATCGGATGTAATATTATGTGGCTGTGTTATTCCATTAACCAGCCTTCAAAGTTTAAAAGAAATTTTCTTGAACTTTACAACACATCCAAGCTATTCAGATTTGACATTAAATGGTTATAAATGATTGTGATCTCCTTGTACTAAAAATAAATGGTCCCATTACATACAATCCCTAGGATTAATTCTAATAATGAATTATTTGTTATGTGACAAACTTGATAAGTTTGTGTTTTTGGAAGTAGTTTTTATTCTATTCAATAATTAGTTGGTAATCACATGTTTTACTTTTTTCTGCAACAAATAGTTAAAAATAGTTGGAAGCCATTAAAAATGCTAAATAACCACGTGATATTGTATACGTTAAAATACGTGATTTCAGTAAATTACTTTGAGTGAAGTAAAAACAGTTTTTATAAAAGATAGACTTATATGTAGAACTGCTTGTAAGTATATTTAAAAGGTTTTAAAAGGGGCACATCAACATATAGTTCATGGTCAGAATTAATTCCATTTAATTAGTGAATTGTTGATAATAAGGAGTACAGCCAAACAGGTCCTTCACGGTCTTTGGTAAAGCTGAAATGAATAAGAAAAAGAAAAAGAGAAAACATGAAACATTTCATAGTCTCAATATGTTTTTTCTTTTTTCTTTTTTCTTTTTCCTCTTTTCAAGAAGAGAATGATCACCTGGGATGGTTGTCCAACATCAAAACAACCTCCTTCCATGAATTTTTCAGGTGCGCCTTACTTCTGTTGTATAAGATTAGCGTCTTATATTTCACCCAAAAAAAAAAGTTGGCACCTGATATAAATTCCATTTAATATTATAACTTTATAAGCCGATAATGTTTCTAACATTATTCGTTAAGATTCACTAGTCGCTTTTATGTGTGTTGCACGCACAACGAAATTCGAGATAGAAAAATATCAAAGCATACATTAACCAAAAAAAACTCAATATTATGACACTACTCATATAATGTTTATAACTTGACTCCTAGTAAATTACGTGAAAAATATCGTAGTTAATGTTATCTACATGAAACAATAAAAATTGTCAACGGACAATGTAATTTTTTTATAAACTTTAAATAAATAACAAAAAATAGCCATAAATGAAACGATAACATAAGGGATTGTATATAATGAGATCATTTACCTTTGATACAAGACGGTCACAATTATTTATAACCATCTAATGTAAAATTTGATAGCTTGGATATGTCACAAAGGTCGAGAGAATTTATTTTGAACTTTGAGCTTGGTCAGTGCAATAAATGTAGCCACCCAATTTCACATTCAATGGTCAAGATAAATTGTGACCACTTTGTACCAAAGATAAGTAGTCTTAGTATATATATTTTTATAATATAATAATATAAAAAAAAAAGATAAAAAAGACACAATAAGTAATACTTATATAAAGTAAATGAGAAGATGAAAGAAACACACCTGATTGCAAGAAGATGGACTGGTAGATAGAGAAAAAAAACTTTCAAGAATTTAGATATAAAATTATGGATTGTGTTTGTTGATGGAGCCGTAAGAATGAAGGCCAACAAAAATGGGGTAAGTTTTCATTGACAATAGGGCAAGGCCAATGACAATAGCTTGAAAATTATTTTTTTCTCCGCTCTTGTTATTTTCTCTTGATCTCTTGACAAAATTAGAATTCCTAAAAAATAGAAACTTACATTTGAGTGGAGAGAGAGGGAGATATTCTTTTAGATTTTGATCTTTAACTTCCTATTATTTGGCTTCTTACTCTCTCTCTCTCCATGCCCCCTCTCTTTTCCTCTCTTTTTACATTTTCCCCTCCCCCTTCTCTCTCCACACCTATCTATCTATCTCGTCCTTATTGTTCTCTCTCCATATCTCTTATAGATTTATGAACTCATTAATTTAGTTAGAATAAGAAAAATAATTTTTTTAAGATAAATATTTTAGTTTCTAAAATCTCCTTAAAGATAGGTGCCATTTAAATATGTGTGCGGTTTGTATAAGGCCGAGGCCCTAAATAATAAAAGTAAGGCGCACCTTCAAATAGTGTCAAAAGATGTTTCAATCCTGGAATCTTTGTGATGGCCTAAAACTTTATCTTTATGTCTAATTATAAAAATTCAAAGTTTCAAAAATAGCATAGATCGAGTAGATCTATGAACACTCGAAAATTTTGAAAATTGACAGTCTAAAAATGCATTACAAGATGCACTATTTCTAAGACTTTAAATCTATTTTTTCTCTGGTCCGTGCATCATGAGGTGAAGATGATCAATTTGAGAATTTATTGACATCAAAACAATCTCTTCTAGTGAAATTTTTTAGGTGCGGCTTAATATAATTGTTGAGGGTCTCGCCCTTATATAAATTTTTTCATTTAAAATACCTTTTAAGAGTTTTTTTTAGAATTTTTGTATATTATTTTTAGCTTTCTTCTCTCACCTCCTTCCCTCCCCTG